ATTGTTTTTTAAAATGTTCCAGAGGATAATGCTTAGCCATGGGAATCCTTTGGTCCCAATTCAGAAGGAACCCTTGTAACTTTGATATTTGACATACAGAACACTATGAACTCTTGATCTTAGAAGAGGTGCCAAAATTTTCTGAAACTACAAAGAGTTTCTGGTGATTACAGTTGAAAATTTTTAAGACTGATCAATGATTTCAACAATGGAAATTTCCATCTTGAGTTATTTATAGTGTGAAATAGTATTATCAGTTTTTGCCAGTAGGTGGAGATACAAGATCACAAATTACTCTCAATGCCTCCCAAGCTAAGTTAGGACAATTTAAATTTTAGATGAATAATTTTAGGAAAAAATGAATTGGGGAGGGAAGGGAAAGAAAAAAGTGAGCAATCAATAAAGATAATAAAAGTGCTGCTTATGATTAATATTTTTTTACATTGATGGGAAATGTAGTATTGTAACAAATTCCTCTGTAAGAAAAGGGCAATTGAGAAAAGAGTGTGAAATTTTGACACTTAAATATAAGGTGCTCCTAATTTGTTCCACTTCAGCTTTATCATTCATAATGATGATATCTCTTCGACAATAAATCTTTAATCATAGACCAGCATAAAATGCAAACAAGGAAAATTATATCCATTTTAATAATAACACAAAATTTAATAATCAAAAGACAATTAAACTTACTAAAGCAATACTATACAATTTAAAACACTAAAATATATCTATAAAATGCTTAATAATAACACTAAGACTAGAGGCTAAAGGTATAAAAATAAAGATTAAGGAAAAAATCAGTACATAAAATAATTGTTAATAAGTTGACTCGTGTCCAGGGTGTTTAATTATTTCTTTGTTAATGTCAATTGCTGCCAGACAAAATGTAGCAATATTGTATGTTATAAATGGTTCCTTATTTGAGAGGAGAAAAAAAGGACTCATTATGATCTATAACATGTGTCAATAAGGGAAGAAAAAAAGTTTCTTGACTACACTGATAATAGCAGCAGTGCCTAAACACATTTGTGATGGTCTATATTGTTTGTGTTGGTAAAATGCGGAGCCAGATTGTTGGGGACAATATGCAACTAATTCTTACATTTAAACTCCCCAGAGAAGACTGTGAAGCACTATGGAGTGGTATGTAAATCTAAATGCTATTGCTATTGCCAAGTGGGTAGATTGTCATACACTTGGGTAAATCTCCCATTAAGAACTACAGAGGGTAAAATTGCCCTAAGAATGGCATTTTGCTGGGCAGGGAAGTTAAGGTGATTCCTGGTTCCCATATTATACAAGCTGTAAAGTGGGCTGGAATATAGTTGACTTCGTTCTGGAATTCCATATCTAAGGCCCTTTGTCAGATGCTTCTTTTAGCTTGAGCGTATTCCCCAAAAAGCAGATGCTCATATGGCAGACCATAATGGGTACATTTCCCCATTGTTGCTGTGATGGTTGAAATTGCTGCGTTAGGACTAATGGAGTCAGTCTTGATGGGAAAAAGTGGCGTTTGAGCTAATATGTGAATATTAGCAGTCATACTTTCATCTCCACTTTTTGGGGACCTGCTTCCCTTCAATACGTGTTCCCAGCCCAATTATCTTCTTTCTAGTATTTCCCACAGATTTTTCTGCCCTTATTTTTTTATTTCATGAAATAAAAAATCCTCTCATATTTTAATTTGCTGATTTAATGAAATAACTGTAGCAAGTGAATTGATGCTGATAATCATTTATTTTGAAAAGCACCCCAAGTTCCTAGCAAGAATGAGTAAGGGGCTACTGGATCCTGCAGACCTCTTAGCAGCTGAAGACTCTGATATCTGCTGCAGATGTCCTCTTGGACTATGGCAGAAAACATTGCTAGTATTAAAAGGTTAAAAAGTGGCACATTGGGTTTTGCTTAAGATGGTTAATCCCCCAAGATTTCCTCACAAAGTCTGAAAAAATACACCTGAAAGAATGAAGGGGGGGTTATTTTGGGGGGAATAAAATCATCTACTTTTGGGGGGAATAAATCTGCTTAAATTTGTTTTAATAATCCAGTGATTTTGAAAGGAGAAAAATATTTTCTTCAGTCTGTTCCTCATACCTGATCCTGCTATAAACACACTCGAATATTTATTTTTCCCCTCACCACCTCCTCATGGCTTTGTCTTCATCTCAAGACCGACCCATGAGTAAGACAAGTTATCCTTGGCTAGGCTGATGTTAAAGTAATATTTTTGCCTTATTCAACTACCATCCAAGGTGATTGTCAAGATTTGTCTTTGTCACCCATTATCTTAGAGGGAAGTTTGGTGATTCAATGACTTCAAACAGAGGCACTACCGAGGATAAAGATCTGATAGCAAATTTCATGCCAGTATAATTGTCTGCCAATTCAAGGATGGCTGGGTAGCAGTTTCACTCAGCAGTGGAGAAAGGCCCTTTGTGTGCTTCCAGATGGATAGCTTTTCAAGCTGCTAATCAAAATATATTGTGCAGCTAGTCTGTCTTTTCCTCCTTAATCAATTTTTCCAGAGCAAGATGTGCTTGGCTCTAGCAAGCATGTAGCTTTGGAGAGTGCCATTTACATCCCACATGTCGTCAAAATTAAATTCCGGTGTGCTTTACAGCAGGCACAGAAGAGATATTCTATCCTGGGTAGAGAAGAAACTAATCTGCTTTTTAAACAACAATATTAAAAAATAATCTGATCAATGGGTGGGCCAGTCATACTTTCTACAACAGAGAATTCAAACATATAGAAAAGAAAAATGTTTCCTCAGAGCATCCTTCCCCAACTTAAGCACCCTTCAGATGTGTATATTAACTTCCAGAATTTTCCAGCTACCATGGTCAGTGTTAAAAATTCTTGAAGTTGAAGTCCACACATCTGAAGGATGTCCAAATAAGAAAAGCTGCCATTAAGGCTGGGAAGAAGGCATGTGAGATTGCCCTCTCTTACTGACTTGGAGTTTTTCTGATCATTGGAGGGGCAAAATCTAATCTATTCTGAGGTCCCTAAGATATACTCACAAGCACCATAGGATTGTGCTAGAAATAATATAGTTTTAAATATGAAAATACTCCACGAATGGGTAGATAAATCAATGTTTCTCAATCTAAAGTTTTTAAACGTATCAGTATTATTACTATTCCCATAGATCCCAGCCAGCATAATCACTGGGAATTCTTTACAGCTTTTCCAGTGCATGTGCAGGAGGCCAGGTTAGTAAAATCTGATATACGACATACAGTATTTTAAAAACAATGCAGGCTCAACTGAAGAAGAGAACTGATAAAATCTAGTACCTTACACATCCTGCTTCCAGAAAGATTTTTTCCTCAACTGTTTTGCTGCAAATTGAACCCCACATAATAGAAAAGCAAATGCAGATGTTGACTCTATATCATATATATCCAAAGAAAGGGTGAGACAGGAAAACTGGTGTCACAAAGAAAATGAACAGATAGTGATCTATTTTTGCTTCTAGATCAATATGCAGGTTTTTTTTAGTCTTGCCACTATTAGCATGTTTATTTCTCAAAGAAAAAGACATCCCAGCAGTTTTGGTCATTTCCCTAACCTTGGCATCACCAAAGTTATGAGCCTCTTGTAACTCCACTTTTCCTTTCCCAAATTGATATTTTTGTGGCATATATTTGTTTGATGACATGTTTTGGAAAATGTAAAGCCCTCCCCCACACTTCTGTATTAATTTGATTGGTCCTCATAAAATCCATAAAAGGACTCTTTATGAAAGCAGAATATGTGCTTAGCAACATGAAATTAAACTAAGTTCCATGCTGATTGCTTGGTGTCATCACTGCATACTTCCACCATGCTCTGTCCAATTGTCTTCCTGTTGTAATGGTAAAATTTTGATAAATTCCTATTTTGAATCAGTAAGTCTCAGGACAGAGGAGGGGAAATTTGAAATGTTTGTCTGTGCAGGATACTCTGCAGAGCCATTCCAGGGTATAGTTGGCTCACCTTACTTCCCAGCCTCTGATACCTGGGGATCATGCTACCCTGGTGAGCCAACAAGAGGTTTACAATATACGAGAATATATGTAGCTTGGGAATGAACTATGGAATCCTTGGTGTTGTCTGACCTTAGTTGTTTGCTTGGAGACATTTCTAGACACCATGTTTAATTCATTTCTAGATAACATGTTCAGTTTACTGTTGTATTTTGTTTTTCTTTTGAAGAATTTGCAGTTTGGTGGGAAACAAAGGGTAAAAATGAGAAACTCTTTACTGCAGAGGATTAAATCAGCTGAAACATTTGTGCCAGGAATGCAAATTTTGACTGGCTGGTGTCTATAGATTTATCACTTTTCTATAAGCCCAACTTACCTCGCAGAACTGTTTTTATAGAAAAAATGGAAGGAGTCTTATACATGCCACCTTGAGCTTCTAAACACACAGCAGAATATAACTCTAATGAATAAACCTGAGAGTGGAATATTTATCCTGTTTGATTTTATTCTTTGTATTCAGAAGTCCTGAGTGACGGAAAGAAAAGGTGAGTTGTCTGAAAGTGCTTTTAAATTAGCACACTTGTTTTTATGTCTATGGAGATTCTCAATCATCCAGACCATGGTTGTTCCAAAGGTACTTTTTCAGGAGTTAATTGAACTTTCTTGTTTTAATTTGAAGATGTTTCACTTCTCATTCAAGAAGCTTCTTCAGCTCTGACTGGATGGTGGGGAATGCAAGGATGGAATGATGGAATTCTTCTATTCCCCACCATCCAGTCAGAGCTGAAGAAGTTTCTTGGATGAGAAACGAAATGTCTTCAAAGAAAAATAAGAAAATCCAGTTGCTTCCTGAAAAAGCACCTTTGGGACCTGTTTGTCTGTTTCACTTTTACCCCACTGCTACATTTAGTCTAAACATCACTTCTTTTTCAAAATTATAACTCTAACACAACATGAACAAATAGACAATCATGCCAAACTCCAGATTGCTACAAACATCATTTTGAAATTGAAGACTAAATCCTGTGCATTTTGGAATACTCTTCCAGCAATGTAGAGTTTTATTTTACATTTTTCCTTTGCCCTCACAGATTCTTAAACAAATTTCCACTTTGTTTGTTGTTCCTCTTGTTCATGTATAATCTCCATCTATGGCCACATTTCTGATAAATAATATGATGTAATCAACTTTGAAAAACTTAAAGAGATGGCCTATAGCAAGTTGGGCTGATCTGAGTAGCCATCACACAGCATTGCAAAGTTTTCATTCTTTGGGGAAACAGAGTAATGTAAGAAACTGAAAATGTTCCAAGACAATATTTAGAATATTTTATTTTAATAAGGACCACTTAATTTGTTCTTTGGCAGATTGCAGCACCTACAAAGAAGCAAATGGAGAAAGATATGAGAACTATTCCTTTTATCTGACATTCTGCCAAAAGATCAGGAATAACTCTTCTACTTCTTTTGCAGAAAATCTCCTGCCAACTTTGTGCTCCACCATGCTAAAATTCATCTGGAGGGTTCAGCTGTGTGCTTCTTCATTTAACTGCATGAAGACATATGTACTACCATGAGAGATTAGGACTTCAACTCTACTCTCTGGAATGATGGAAGCTCTATTTCAATGTATCTGAAGAGCATAAGGCTGGAAAAGTCTGATGCCAATCAACATCAGGCAAGGATTGTGAATTCATAGGATGTGTTCTGGGTGAGATCGATTGTGCTTTGCTCAGCATTTGATTTGTTAATGAAAATGGTATTCCTCATTTCAGCACTACCTTATTTGCTGCCATTGCTTTGCTGTTAAAAAAAAAATCTATTGATGAAATTTGTTCTTAAATGTTTGGTTTTATATTGTCCTCAGGCTATTATTTGAAAGGCATTATAAAAATAGTTCAATAAACCAGCCAGCCATTCAGCATGTTCACTTTTATGAACTCTGCAGACAACAGGATTAAATCGTTGACTAAGATTGGCAAATTGCCAGCTAGAGAACCAAGTTGCTACTAAGAACATTCCTCCCAGCATCTGATGACTTTATTCCGCAAGACCCTCCCACACCCCCCAAAAAAATCCAGCTTTCCTCAATACATAAATTTAACCCTGGTGAACCTTGGTGCAAACTTAAAAAAAAAACAAGCCTGTGAAAAGAGAAAGAAAATTTTAGAACTATTGGAAGAATTCCCTAGATTATCTGACCCTAGTCTTCTTATTCTGAACACTAGATGGCAGACATATCTTTTAGATAAAGAAGCAACACTGACCAGAAAGAAAGTTCATTAAATGAAAAAGAAGATTTGAGGCAGTTGCAGTATTTTGTGCTATTCTTTTTAGTTATTCATTTATAGTCTATTAAACCTTGATGATAAAATTCAGGCTTGATCCAAAAGTTGACGATTTAAATGATTTGTTTTACAGAATCCCGTGCGGCTCCAAAAAAAGCTTCTTAATACGGGCCTACATCAGGTGTTTTCTGGCCCAGAGGAAGAGACAGAGCTCTGGAGCTTGCATTAAGCTTAAGAAACCAGGACACAATTAATTCATGTGCCCAAATGCAATACTCAATTCATTTACTTTTTTATTCTTTTACTCATGATTAGTCAGCCTTGTAGTAGGATTATCTCAGAACAGATAACAAATCTAATCTGCTCTCATCAAACAGCATTAAGAAACCACTACACATCTAAACATAATACTGGAGGAGTTCTTAAACAGGATGTAATCCAAATTAATTTTAAATCATTTCATAATCTCTTGATTTCTACAAAACTGATCTCACCGAGCATTTTTTCAGGGAAATTAAAGACTTTCAAAGAGGTTTTTTTGTGTTTGGTTTGTTTTTTTGGGCTAATTGAGATCTGGTTTAATATTTTATTCTATCTTCCTGATGAATTCTGGGAAATGTGGTTCTATGAAGAAAACTGTGATTATTAAACAGAAAATTTAATTATTTTATCGAACTACAGTTTAATTATGATTAATGGATACAAAATCCATATCAATGTATTGTCTGCACCTGAGCTGAAATTGTAGTTAGACATACTGCATAAAAACTACTTGTCCTCCAAAATATATTTGCTTCCTCCTATTTTGGCATTTATTCAGAAGTGACTATAATGTAGAAAAAATATTATCTCAATCGTGGATGGCAGGAAACATTGACTTATTTTGATTTGGCTTTCTGATATCATAGATTGCAAAGCCTGATTAATTATATTGATTGCTAACTTGGGTATCCTGAGGATCGCAAAAGGACCAATGAAAAACATATATTATAACATTGTAAACCATGTGACTTAAATAGTGTGCAATATAAGGATGCAAATACAAAAGTCATACAATTTCCATTGAGACACCATGATATACCTACTAATTTTGCTCTACTGCAATGTGTCCTAGATGCATATGCTTACTAGAGAGCCCATTCAGAGCAACAACAATGCTTCCTGCTATCATTATAAAACTTCATGATGTTTTCAAATCTATTTCCTCTCTAATAACCCAATAGCATTACCCTGGTTGCACAATCCCTGGCTATTTTGCCCCAATGCTGCAGAGCAGTGAAACAAACAGTTACAAAGAAATGGTGAATAATATGCATGTGAAATAAGTGCAAAGAAATGTAAGAAACTTAATTGTCCTGAATAAGGCTTTACTTTACAGTGAAAAATATCACAGATTATTTTAAAAGAAACAGATCAGACCTAATTAGTATCTCTACATGAGATCATCAGGAAATCTCTAGGCTGTTACTTGGACTGGGAAGTTGAAAAGCATTCCAAAAGAAAGTAGCTAATGACATTTGTGTTATTGTCAAGAAAGCAACATGGATTGTCTGTGTCACCTCTAGGAGCTGGGTTCAGCCTGAGGGAATCTTTACTTCTTTGCCTCACACAATAGAGGCATCCTCAACTTACAACCATTCATTTAACATCCATTCAAAGTTACAACACTGAAAAAAAAATGACTTATGATTGGTATTGACTGCACTATTGACTGTCACAGCATTCCTAGAGGGACATGATCAAAATTTGGCCTTTGACAACTGGCATATACTTACAAAAGTTGCAGCATCCTGGCATCACATGGTCACCATTTGCAACCTTCCAGCAGGTTTCCGACAAGCAAAGTCAAGGAGGGAAGCTGGATTCACTTAATGACCATTGTGGTCATTATAATTCACTTAACAATGCAGTGATTAGTTTAGTAACCATGGCAGAAAAGGTTGCAAAAGTGGGTGTGACTCGCTTAATTAATGTCTTGTTTAACAATGGAAATTCTGACACCAATTGTGGTCATAAGTCAAGGACTATCTATACTGAGAATCACTCACTTTTTCTAACCTAATGTCTTTTGAGATGTTTTTGGAACTCAATAAACATAGTATTAGGATTAATAGTTTGTAACATGGGGGAAGGGGAGAGAAGTGCGATGTTTATGTATGTACAATTCCCAATTTATAAAATATATTTCTGTTTCTAGTAGAATAATGTCTATTTATCGATAGGCAACTTGCAGCAACAGAAAAAAAGAGTGATATTTGGCTTCCTGTTTAGTTTCTTATAGTATGTCTGAACATAAGATCATGGATATTTAACTTAATAAATGCAGGCAATGTTCAAATGTATATATAAATATCCTGCTTTTATAATTTTTATAAGAATGCAACAAGAAAACTGATTACCTGTCTCTAATTATTTTCTATTTTTTTCACTTGAAAATTTTTTGATTTAAGTTATAAAGGCAAGCAATATTTATAATGGGGCTCATATAAAAATGGCAAAAGGTATATATCCTAATAAATAATTGGTTATTCAAATGCTGCTTTATTCTTTACTACACTAAGTCAGCATCATTCATGCATTATATGGAAGTATTAACAGATTTATGGGTGTCTCAAGTTTTGTAAAACTACAGGTAGTCCTTGACTTACGACTACAATTGAACCCAAAATTTCTGTTGCTAAGTGAGACATTTGTTAAGTAAGTTTTGCCCCATTTTATGATCTTTCTCGACACAGTTGTTAAATGAATCACTGTAGTTGTTAAATTAGTAACACGGTTATTAAGTGAATCTGGCTTCCTCATTGACTTTGTCAGAAATTTGCAAAAGGTGATCACATGACCCCAGGACACTGTCATAAATGTTAGTCAGTTGCCAATTGTCTCAGTTTTGATCATATGACCCTGGGGATGCTGCAATGGTTGTGTGAAAGACAGTCATAAGTCACTTTTTCCAATGCCACTGTAACTTTGAACGGTCACTAAATGAACTTTTAAAAAGGCATTTCTGGCTGATTTCCAGAGAACATAATTCACATAGCGACATTTTGCCACAGATTCCACTTATCTGGCTAAGCCATCCAACTCTACCATACTTGAGAAAGCAATGATTCCCTGCAGAAGCCAAACTTCAAATGATTCAAGCAGTCTTACCTGAGTGACACTGTGCTCTGCTAAAGAGCTGTCATCCACCTAAAATAGGAAAAGAGATTCAGATAGTTAAGGAAGATAAAGATTAGCCAGGAGAGATAAATAGAATGCTGATAGCTAAGTCAAGAAATCTATAAAAATAAATAAGGCTTATTTAAAAAGGAGAGAGTCTTGACTAAATGGATTTGAGGGGGGGGGGAAGACACAAAGCCAATATATATTGACAAATCAGCAAACAAATAATGAATTTCAGAAGCAAATTACTAATGACGCAAAGACAAAGATATGGTTCTCGATTTAGTCATAGAATTTTTTTCCATTTAGAGTTAGTCATACTTAGAGTAGATCCATTAAAATCAATGATTTCTGAATTATTAATGATAAACTTATACCTTACTGAGTCCAATGAGTCTAGTCTAAATATGTCTAAATCTGGAGCCAATGTCATAAAATTGTCTTGCAGTATGAAATATAATACCCAACTAGATAGCAATGTCTAGCCAACTATGGTTGATTTTGAAAGCTAAACAGGTGGGATCTGGTTAATACTTGTATCGGAGTCCATCAGGAAATGCCACCAGGAAAGACTTAAGAGTGCCTGCCTTCATGAAATAGTTTGTGGGAATGTGTTTCAGAGAGCATTAATTTTTTCAGGTTTCACCCCCAAGTTTTCATAGTTAGAAATTCTGTTCAGAAGGGGACTATCCATCATCAGAAAACCTCTTCTGACTCATCCAGAGCTGCTAAGTTATGTTCATTCTAATTCAATATCAGAGGGAATTGAAATTAAGCATGCTAGGAAAGAAACCACAGCTTCTCTGGATTTAATGCTTTCCAAACTCAGGGGAGAGATTTGTAAGCTGAAGAGATGGCCTATGGGATTTCTTTTTCCCACATGAAAACCAAAAAACTCTGTATCTTATTGTTTGTTGCTGTAGCTACATCAGCAACCATGCAAATGTTTGAGAGATTCAGATGACAAAAGCTTTTTGGGTAAATTCTAGGAAGGCTATCCTCATATATGAGAAGGAGGAAAGAAGATTGTGAAATTGTATGGACAAAGGCAATGAACAATTAAATATAATATAAATAGAACTTATACTAATTGACAAATTACAAATTAATTATCCGGACAGACAGTATCCTCATAAATATATTTAAAGTTCTCAGATAAAACTGCTGGGTCATCTAAAACTAACATGCAAAATTAAAGCCAAATCTCCTTCAAGTCAACTTTGACTCCTGTTGACTTCCTAGCCACCCTCGACAACTAGAAGAAATAATAATATTATTATTATTTTTAATTTCCCTGTTAATTTTCGAGAAGAAATTGAGCCTGTTATTACAAAAGGAAAACTGAAATCACCCTTGAAAAAGTTTCGACTTGCCAGAAGGGAAATGAAGCATACTAAACTGAATATGCTACAAATAAATGACTATAAGAATCCAGGATAGATAATTTTAAATCAGATGACAAATCAGATGATTACATGATACATGGTATATTTGATCAAGTTTAGAACACAATCTATTATTACTTCTGGAAAGCTTTCTGTTAACACTAGAATTGAAAACATAATAGTTTATGGATCTGTTTATAGGTAGGATAGAAAATGGAGAAATAAATGTTTGTAACATTATAGGGTGAAGAGTCAATAAATTTGTTTATATGTGTGATGAAGGTTGAAACTGTTCTTTATGGGCTATATATTAAATTATTCAGATCATGATACATATGGCAATAAGAATGTACAACAACTAAATGTGGTTATTAATCAGGAAGAAGGAAAGGATAAGGAAAGAAAATCAACCATGATGGTCAATAAATAAAGAAAAATAACAAGAAAGGAAAAACCACAAAAGATTTTTTTTAAAAAAAAGATCAGAGCAATCAAGACATTTTCCATCTAATAGGAGATAAGAATAATCCTGGACAAGATCTAGTAGAGGCAAAAAAAGTTAAAGGAAGTCAAAGGAAGATGGGAATACTAATACTAATCCATGAATTTCATAAATATTACAGTATTATAAATGAGATTACACAATGAAAAATAAACTATTTCAGGAACTAACTCTTCTAGAAAGAGAGATATGAAGGAAAAATACCAATAATCAAACAGAAAGGCACATTATTCAATGAATTGTCTTAAGCTGCAAAGAAAAGGCGGTGCTAAAGAGTTAGTGATTATCTAAACAAATGTAGAACAAGATTGTATGGGGGTCCTTGGTGCTCTATGATCTTGGTTGTTTTCTTGCAGACCCTTCATTACCCAAACTAGATAACATCCTAGTTTAGATAATAAAATATCTGCAAGAAAACAACCAAGCTCAGATAACATCAAGGACCCCTCATTTCAACCCTGAACTGCAAATATGGTTTTTTACAAGATTGTGTGGTTTGGAAAGTGAAAAGTGCAGTACAGGTAATCCTTGAGTTCAATAGTTTGATTAGTGACTGTTCAAACTTACAACATAACCATCACCCCCAGTACTTGTGACAGAGTCCCGAATTTATGAATGTTGCAGCACCACAGCAGTTGTTCACCTTTACGAATGACTACAGAGGCACTGCAACATTCACCCTGCCTAGTTCCCCCTCCCCCATTGGGTCTCCACAGGCACTGGACCTATGGATAGATATAGATATATGCAAAGATCTAGTGAGCCTTTGGTTTCTTGGCCTGCTTCGGTGCTTCAGTGCATTTGCAAAGAATGGAGACCTAAAGTACCGCAAGATCAAGCGAAATCACTAACACGAGATCTTGTGCTACTTATCTCCCATGATCTCATGGTACTTTAGGCCTTTTTTATCTGCAAATGAAGGCCTAGACGAGATATGAGGCAAAAGGCTTTGCAAACGGAGGGAAGCCCTGAAACACCAAAGCCTTCCGTCCATTTGCAAAGCCTTTTGCCATCTTTGCAAAAAGTCTTTGCCACTGAGAATGGAGGCCAGGAGGGGCATATGCATCCCTCCAGGCCTCCATTTACAGCAGCAAAGGCCTTTCAAGGCCTTTGCTGTTGAGAACAGAGGCCTGGAGGGATGCACACACCCCTCTGGGCCTCAATTCTTGGTGGCAAAGGCTTTTTGCAAAGACTGGAGTCTATAGGGATGCAATCTCTCATCCCTGCAGGCCTTGGCAAGTCTTTGTTCAAGGCAAAACTGCGGCAGAGAAGTTGGAAAGGAGATAGTTCCCTTGATTATCAAGATCTACACAAGGTAAATAACCGGTCGGGCAGGATAGAGGGAAGAGGAAGTATAAGATATCTCAGTGGATTGGGGGAGGTCTTGGGCGGTCTGAAGCACTAGTCCCGCCCCCCCCCCCGTGGCCTTCCTTACCCTGAGATACCTCATGCACTCAACACCCCATGCATTCAATTAGCGAACGCATGGGCGAAAGCAGCGAGTAATCACATTCAAGTTATGTGATTCACTCCTATGAATCCTCAGGTTACGAATATAATTCGCAGGCTCCATTATATTTCTAACTCAAGGATTACCTGTATATGTAATGAAGGGCAGTGTTGTGTCCTGAACCTGCAAAGGCAGGCTTGCGACGTTGCAATGGTCCCGGGCAGTTGCAAGCTGCCCGGGACCAGACTGAGTGGCGCCGGCTTCACGCGCATGCGCGAGGCACGGAAGCACGCCAGAATGTTACTTTTGCCCAGGGATGCTATTAAAAGGAGTCAGAGAGGTCTGCGAGCCTCAGAGCTGTGACGGAGAGAGAACTACTTAAAATAAAGGGCTGTTGGAATTACAGAATGTGCTGTATTCATTCGCTGTTGACTCAAGGATTCAACACTGGCGACGAGGATGGGATGGCTTACAAAAACAAAAAAGAAGAATTGTAAGCTTACCCCAAGAGTCCTGGAGAGAGGAAGATGGCGTTAAACTCAGCACCTGGCCTGCCAGTACAGCGTTGCTGGAGGTAAGATGGCTGATAGACCCCTTCCTAACATAGAAGCAAGAATGGCGAAGATAGGGAGACTGTCTGAATTCGATGTCACTCACCCAGAAAGATGGGAGTCTTATGTTGCCAGAGTAGAAAATTACTTTAGAGCAGTGGTTCTCAACCTTTTTAATGCCGTGACCCCCAACCGGTCGTAAGTCGAGGACTACTCAACCGGTCGTAAGTCGAGGACTACTCAACTGGTGCAGCACTGTTTGCAGAATGGGACTTTTGGCGGGCTCAGCAGGGCAGAGACAGCCTGGACAATTCCTATTGGCTTTTGAAAGCCAATAGAATTAGACTCTATTCAAGAGAGTCTATTCTATTGGCTTTCAAAAGCCAATAGAATAAAAGGGAGTAGCACAGCTAAGGAAAAGGGGGGAAAAAATGGCGGACTGCGTTGTTTGGCGACCCCCGTGAAATGGTCGTTCGACCCCAAATGGGGTCCCGACCCACAGGTTGAGAACCACTGCTTTAGAGTAAATCAAGTAAGAGAAGATGGCTTGAAGGCCGCTACTTTGCTATGTGTCTGTGGTCAAGATGCATTTGAAATTGCTGAAAATTTGGCAGCCCCTGCTTCTCTTGAATCTGTCACACAGATTTAAAAAAAATATTGAAGGAACAGTTTCAGCCCAAGTTGTCTGTTATTGCGTGGAAACACACTTTTGAACAGAGGGATCAAAGAGCTGGTGAATCAGCTAAAGAATACATTGAGAAGAGCAGCTAAACCTTGTGATTTTAAAGACTTAGAAGAAAGGTTAAGATTTGTATGTGGGCTTAGGAACAGAGACTTTCAACAGAGACTCTTTGCAAAAGAGGACATTTCATTCCAAGATGCCTTGAGAGAGGTCACAGCAGAAGAGGCAGCAGGTGGGGCAGTCAAGAACATGAGGCCTATCAGGAACAATCCAGAAGCCGTCTCCATGCACCATGAGGGAGTCCAGGAGAGCTCGGAAGAAGATCCACCTCATCTCTACCCAGCCAAAGAAAGGAAGCAGAAGGAAGGCAAAGAAAAGTCTTCAGCTGTACCCAAGTGCTTCGGGTGTGGAGGTCGCCACAAGAGGACCGACTGCAGGTTCTGTTCTGCAATCTGCA